ATTTTTACAGAGTAAGGTTTTGGACTAGAACCACTTTTTAAATATTTGAAAGTAATTGGTTAAAACAAAGATGGGTTAATAGCATGTGTCTGCTCATATTACATTTCATTGTTATTCACAGGAGAGAAGACTTAACAAATATGTGTACTTACGAGGCTTCTTAGGCCGGACAATTTTTTTTTGTTTGTTTTGTTTAAAGCATAAGTGATGGATTCATTTTCCTGGACTTAGCATGGAATTGGGTTTCCTGAAGAAAACATATTTCAATGTATTTTTTGCTTTTAGGTTTTAAACTATGAACATGTAAATCTTGCTCTTGATTTTTTTTTAAGACAGGACTTAAAAAAAATGAATCAACCTGGACTTCCGTTCATCTTTTTGCAACGTAGCATACTGCTACTTTTAACTTCTTCACCTAACTAGTTGTAAAAGACATTGTATTTTAAAGCTATGTGTTGAGACTCTTTAAAAATGTTATTTTTATATCAATGAGTGACTGAAAAATAGGGGGGTTATGCAACAAGAAATATGGTAAGGTAAATCCAATAGTGTTTGCTGCAAACAGTGTTGAAGTCTCTGGCTGGCTCTTCATCTAGCTGACAAAAAAAGATTATGTCTTTATAAAAATATATATTTTGTAAATCAGTATTTTTTCCATTAAATAAAAATTAATAGGAATTGTATAATATTTACAGTGAGGTAGCAGATATGGTATATAGATATAATTGTTCTAAAATTAATGATAAATAAATTAATAAGTATTTTCAATACAATTTTCAATACAAATTCCTTATATCACTTTAATATTTTGTAATATTCTATGTAAAGCTGAAAGCTTTGGCATCTTGGTTTATTTCTTATGCAGAGTAGATCATGTATCTAAATCAAGAATGAGTGAAGGTGAAAATTTGATTTGTACATTTATTTAGTGATAATCTTGCCATAAAAAGATCATTGAGATTTTATTTTATATTCCAGCACTTTGTTAGMTGATCAATTTTGTAGCTTGTCAAACTAAAGAGGTAATATTTAATTAGAAGTATATGTATAGCTATTTATTTTATGTAAAATTCCCAGTGTGACCTCAGTTGGATCTGTACTTGCATAACAGTAATAGGGTCCTTCAAATGAAAATGACTATCAATCAACTGTTAGTGGAAGTAAACATAAGTGAATAACTATTTTAAATGGTATCTTGTATTATCAAAGTCTTTTAGAAATGTTATCTTCTGGTAATTGTCAAAAATATTTATTTTCCTTATTTTTTTCTTGAATGAACTAGGTATCTAATGTACAATATAATGTACAAAATGTACAATATAATGTACAAATGTACAATATGTAATTTTCCTTATGAATAATTTTGCAAACACTGCCCCTGATCCTGCAAGCACTTATGCATATACCTAGTTTAAATGCTTATGCTTATCAGGATTTCCCTTGTAAGAACAGAAACATGACAAGTGTGCATAGATATTTGCACATAGTAAAGCCATAAGCATAATGTAATTTYGATACAAGCATGCATTAACTTCATTGGGCAAGTGTTGAGATTAACAAAACAATCATTGAAAGGACCTTCTTCAATCTGGACTAGATCTATGGGCTTTCCTGGTCCCCATTGTGTGCTCAGACCGTGAAGGAACGACTTCCTTAAATGTCTTCCTRTAGAGGCTATAACAATATGTATATACATAAACTTATTTTTATAGGCAGGTATCTGGGGATCTAYAGGAGGACTGTATTTCAGTAGACTAAAAAATCAAGCATTCAAGCATTATGTCTGAAAAGATAACAAGACAAACATCCTGAGTTTAAGTTGTATATTCCCTTTTGTCAAAGCATATAAGCATGTAAATAATGAACAGAAATAAGAATGAATTTAAACTTGGCAGAATCAGTTTAATAACTTCTGTGTAGAACTCTCCTGGTTCTGAATTTTTATTCTGTAATATGTTATTTTAATTATGTACCTTCACTTATTTTACTGATACTTTTCCTTTAGCATACTCCTTCAGAATTTTCTTTACGAATATTAATACATCCATAAATTAGCCTTTAAAAATCCATTTCATAGAGTATTTTTTTAAGAATGGAAATTTATACTGAAGATATCAGAAAGCAGGGCAGTTTCTCAAACATCGGTCTGTGGTAGGAATTGTAGAATATAATAGCTATTGTGCTGTAGAATTGTTTGTTTGTTTTTAGTGAATATTCCTATATCCTTTGGGAGAGGAGAATGTGGTGTAAAATGATTTTTTTGAAATGTCTAAATAGGAAGTGCAGTAAATAGGAATAGTCCCATTTATACTTTATTTTGTTTAAAGTAATTCTTTTATGTGCGTAGATATAAGATAAAGACCCCTCCCTCTTTTTTTTTTTTTTTTTTTAATATTATTCAGCATTGTTATCAGATTCCACAAGTAGAAATTTCTAGGTATATTTTTAACATATCTTTAAATTGTCAGAAAAACTAGATGAAGATCATGCACCTTTTACCCTAGCTATTCTAGCTATTCTCAGGTGCAAATCCTTTCTCTCCAGTCCTCCCTGCGGTAGGGAATCCCTTATCACTAAGTCCTACCTGCTTAGGCTCAGGGATAGAGACTGCCTGATCTAACAACATCCTCCTAAATTGCATTGTTTCTGTGCTTAAGAGAATTATAACTGCTCAAAATGTATGTGGGAACTTTGTTTTCTACACTGATATACTCTCATCACATTAATTCCTCCTGGGGAGGAATAACCCCAGGCATCAATACAGAATAGGGGTTGACCTGCTGAAGAGCAGCTCCGCAGAGAAGGACCTGGGAGTYCTGGCTGACAATAATAACCATGAGTCAGCAGTGTGCCCACGTGGCCAAGAAGCCAATGGGATCCTGGCCTGCATCAGGAAGAGGGTTGCCAGTAGGTCAAGGGAGGTGATCCTGCCCCTCTCCTCAGCTCTGGTGAGGCTGTACCTGGAGTATTGGGTGCAGTTCTTTGCTCCCCAGTATAAGGAGGATGTGGAACTTCTAGAAAGAGTCAGGTGRAGGGCAACCARGATGATTAAGGGAATAGGACATCTATTGTACAAAGAGAGACTGAGTTGGGCTTGTTTTCTCTGGAGAAGAGAAGGCTGAGAGGGGATCTGATTAATCTGTATGAGTACATGAAGGGTGAATGTAAGGGGACAAGATCTTCTCAGTGGTGGCCAGTGATAATGGGCATAAGCTGAAACACAAGATGTTCCATCTCCATSTGAGGAGGAACTTCTTTCATGTGAAGGTGACAGAGCCCTGGAACAGKCTGCCCAGGGAGGTTGTGGAGTCTTCTTCTCTGGAAGTCCTCAAAACCCGTCTGGATGCCACCCTGTGCCACTTGCTCTCGGTGTCCCTGCTTGAGCAGGAGAGTTGGACTAGATGATCTCTGGAGGTCACTTCCAACCTTAACTATTCTGTGATTCTATGATTCCATAAACAAGTATAGTGGGAGGAAAAGATGAAAACCTGCTACTATGAATTAACTTTCAGTTCTGAATGAATTTCATTCATCCTTGTCCTGAGTACCCTGAACATTTAATGCAGATGAACATAGTTTACCTTTATATACTATTACAGCCAGCTAGTATATGGTACAGACTTCCCRGAACAAGGATGATAAACACAGGTGTCCTAATTGAAAAATACTGAGCCTGACAGATTACAGTTCAATCTTTAACCCTTTGCAAAATTTTCTTTATCCTTTGCTTTCCTCAGAGATTCTGAATCAATTATGAAGACATATATGAAGAAAAATTTCAAGGAAGGGAAGGTCCCCAAATTCTTCTTTTGCAATTAAATAATCAGAGTTAGGAAAAAAAAAATCTGAATATCATTATCCGTCATGAAAAGAATGAAATTTAAGAAAAAACTCTTAGGAACCCTTAGGAAAACACACACATTTTTTTTTGCAGAAGTCCATTTTACAAAATAGTGTGATTATCTTAATTTTATGCATGTTCTTTCTTAAAAGGAGACTATAACTGCAAATCCATCAGTCTGGAACCTCAGAAAGGGGGATATGGTAAAAAACCTTTTTCTGATCGGCATAAATCTAATGGTTTCATGTCTGATGCTGCAAAAACAAGAAAAAAAATGAAACTTGTGAAAACTTTTGTTTTTACAAAATATTCTTATATTGGATCATGAATTTAACTAGTAACAGAAAATTGTCCTTTGCTAGTATATTCTTTTGGGACAGTCGCCTCCTGATTCAATGAATTTCAAGAGTTAAATGCATAGCATATACTTTTGACTGCAAATCATTTTTAGAATATAAAATTTTGCAAGTTGAAACAATTATTGTAAAGTACAGAATGCATTGACCAAAAAGGAATAGGAAGYTGAATATGCAGAGAACTAGATTTCTATATAGAAATTTCTGCAAAATGATACTGATTTGAATACTAGTAACAGACCTTTATATGGAATACAGGCAAACACAGTCAGTTTCTCTCTGAAGATCCATTTTAGCTACGATCACTGTGTGCAAACAGGCATTTGAACTTGCTCCCAGATCACCATTTTTCAGTATTAAGGACAGATCTCTCAGCATGAGCCTATYCATTCAAGTTTTATTGTAATTCAAGAAGGAAACGTCAGCTCTAGACTATGTTCAAAGTAATATCTTTTGGCCCTTTAATTTGGTGAACACTCCTTTAAAGATGAATATTTGTAAAGGAATAATAATAACATATTGGTGTGAGTTCAATAATAGTACAAGGAAAGAGAATAGATGATTAATACAACTTATTAAAGTGTTATTTCTTGAAAATCTTAAGAAAGTATTTTACCTATTGTAGAAAAACCTATATATTGAAATTATACATTTTATGAATAATGCTATTTTGGTAGAAAATCTGTTTTAAATGACCAAAATTGTAGATAATGTATATTTTCATATTTGTTAGTTGCTTAAATTTGCATTTCCTAAAAGTAATATTGCTTTATTTTCTGTTTTGTTTTGTTTTGCAGTAAATGAGGGAGGTATTAAGCAGGCATCAAATTTGTGTCCAGATCCTGGAGAACCAGAAAATGGAAAACGGATAGGCTCAGATTTTAGGTAATACATAAACCCTGCCATTATATGACTTTTGTAATACTAACTTGCTGCAACCATTTGGAAAATATGTATGTTAAAAATCTGTTGCTGTTGTTAAGTTACTCTTGCATACCTGAACTTTCTAGTGCAAACTGAAATATAATGCTGTGTAAAATTGCATAGTGGAGTATAAAAAGAAGATAAAAAATCTAATTTACTTGAAAGAGAACATATATATGTGATGTTTTGGGATAAATTTAGTTGAAGGCAATTTAAAACCACTTTCTTGTGTAAATGCTGTCTTGGATCTACAAATATTGAGTGTACATCTGGAACTTAAGATTTTTGTGAAGGATATGAGGGTATATTAAAATGAAAAATCTTAAATTCATACTAGCATTATGTCATCTGTTTTAATCTGGCTTTATCATCATTTTTACAAATCAATTCAAGACAGCTTACAGAGGTTAAAAAGAAAAGGAAGTAATAAATAGGAGGAAGATTTATTATTTTTAGATTAATTAATTTGTTATACACAGTCTTGTTTTGATGGACAAGCTGCTTTTATTACATAGAATTTTGCTGAAGATATATTCTCATTATGATACAGCAGACTTCCTAACATTTGAAGATAACAAATATTAGAATGATGTTCTGTGTCAAGGGCAGATATTTTACCAAATTCTATTAATAATATTGAACAGATTTTAGGAACTCTGAAATCCTATTGCATTTTATGGCAGACTTGATGCTTCCTGATTTGGTACAAGACTAGAATGCTTAGCAGCAATATTTCCTGAAAGCACAAGTTTCTTGCTGACTTCACTGTCAACTCATATCTATTCTAAGAAGTCATCCTGGAACTAATTCAGTTCATCCAAAAGTTTGAATTTACATAGCTTAGTTTCTTCAAAGATAACAAGAGTATGTTCTGGATAATCTCTGAACAAATTCCATCTAGTACAACATCTTCTTATTAGCCTTGTCTTTTCTAAATATAGCTTTTAGAAACAACTCATAAAGGATCATCTACTGCACTGGTTTCCTTTCAGGAGACTGAGTCCTTCTACTGTTTCATGGAACTTCTTTTTTTGATAATGTAAAAAGATGTAACTCATAAAGAGCAGGACCCCATACACAGGCATACACATACATAATTTCTAGTTACTTTACTGACCCCTTGAAGAAGGGATCAATTACTCCTTTGGTTGTATTTGTCATACACATATTAGAAATAGATGCAATGTTTGTTTCTATGGAGGGTTAGATATCTAATGAATGTGAACACTGAGATTCCCACTTGTAAGAGTGGGAAGGCTGAATGTTAAAAACACTGATGTTGTTTACCTCAAGCTGAACACTGGATAAATAAAATGAAGATCATACAAGAAACAAAAGAAAAAAAAAAAAAAGAAAAAAAAAAAAAACACCAGCAAAAGTCCCTTTTGAGTTAACCTAGTTTAAATCCTTCTTATTATCATATTTCCTGTTTGTTCCCTCTTACATTTCTAAAGTAGGAACACATTTAACTCTTAAAAAAAACAGAAAATACACTGCAATAAAATTATTTTAGTAGGTTAAAAATATAAAAATGTGAAAAAAAATTCCRGATTGTCTTATTGCAGACAGTGAGAAAAAGAGTAGACGTTTCTCCTCTAAGTTGCTTTCTGTATAATGATGGAAATAATGAAGGAAAATGCTTTACTATGAGATGATTTTTTTTATTTACTTACTTATTATTGTTTTTAAAGAGGAAATTAAAAGCCCATAGCTAGATTTTCTGAGAACAAAACATATATTTGGGTATTTTGTTGCTTTGTTTTTTTCCTAAGGCAAAAAATGTTGTAGTTTTAGCAAACTTGTTCAGTTATACATGTGTACAAAATAGGGTTAATTTGATAGCATTGTCAAATCTGAGAGGTGTTTTTTTTTTTTTTCTGTAGATAAACGTAGTCAAAAGTCAAAAAGTGACTTTTCTACTGATTATGGACAAATTACGTAGTGATGAACTGTGAACATGTAGTTAATACAAGTAAATCAGTGTAAAAACAGATACTGCATGTTGCATTTCTTCTGATCTGAAATGCAAATGATTCACTATTCAAGAATATACTATCAGAAGAATGTGTTGAAATTCCTTCTCAGAATCAGAGTAGTGACTCAAACTTCAGTTTCTCACATTTAGATCAATGATGTGTTGCCCTCTTGAAAAAGGTTTAATCATTGTTTAATACTTGTTTTCCATTCAGATGAAATTGTTCTTTGGAAGCTTCAGGGTAATTTCCTGCTGGAGGCAGGAATGTCTTTCCACTGTGTCTGCTGAAGTTGTCCATATCCATAACCATTTTACATTATATTCCTTAATTATGAAGTTGGTAAAACTTTAAATACAGTATTATTATATAGAACATGTCAATAATAACATCAATTTAATTATTATCTTTTTATTTTACCATCATATATATTCATGTAATTAATCTATTAATCTATTAATCTATCAATATAGCAAGAATTACAATGATCACTGCATTCACTTTGTGTGTCCATTTAAGTGAATAAAAAGTTCCATTGGATCCAAAGCAATGCATTCAATTTAATCTTCTTTGAATATTTTCAAGGATTTCATCTAGGTAAAGATTTCATGGTCCACTACTACTACTACAAAATAAACATTAAATCTCTGAATCTGACGTATAAATCTTATGCAAGCTATAAGTAGAACATGATAGAAAATGGTGTTTGATACAAGCTTTTCTATAGCAATAAGCTAACAAAGGCTACATTAAAATGCCGAGACTGGCCAAGGACTGCAGCCGAAGAGTGGTACTTCTGGCTTCTCTAGCTAAATGTTTCAGCTATTTGTACTAGTAGCTGTCACTGTGCAGATTGTAGGAGAATCTCCTTTCTGTTCAAATTCAGATTAAGATAACTCTTATATACACCCACATGCACTCAAAACATTTAGAGTGTCATTTGCATTCAAGAGGACCTGTCCCTAATTATAATGTATTCACAACAAGATTTTGCAGCATGTAAGCAAGGCTAGATGGATAATGAAAAACAACTCACCACTGACTTTAAAAATCAAATAATGTTTTTTGGAAATGCCAGAAAAAAWTAGCATTCATTATTCATTGGTATGCATCACAAAAAATTTCCCGAGTTTTATATTTGAAGACTGCAATTGCTTGTACTTTGAGTGCTTAGGAGAAAGTTTCCACCTAGAGGCACCTAGAAACAAATATATTTCATAATTCACTTTTTTTGACAGTTTGGGAAGTATTTACAGCTTTTGGCTTGTCAAGTATCACATATACACATATTTTTGAATCTATAATACTGAATTATGCTTGTATATGTGGTATTCTGTAGTAGTAATATTATGTTTGAACAGTGTGCGTTTTTTTTTTTCCTTCCATAATTGACTCATATTTAATAATAATAATAATAATGATTTAGGAATGTCTGAAATAATGGTGGTAAAAAAATCAGAAATGTGTTAATATGCTTGCAAACATTTTTGCATGTATACAAAATCCATCATACTTTGTCCTACAAAACTATTTAGATCTGTCCTACGAGTATAAATTTGGAGATAAAGTTGAATTTAGATAGGTCAAATGTATTTTTTAAGCTGTGAATATCCTTATCACAGTGTTTTGTAGATGTGAAATGTAGTCTATRTATTTTCAAAATAAATCGAATAGGCTGAATGAATCATAGAAAAAGTAGTCAGAAAGGAGCTCAAGAGGTCAGTTACTTCAGACTCCTGCCTCAAGCAGGACTAATGCCAATAGTGGATCAGTCAACTGTGGCTTTTCTTCAGATAAGTCTTGAAAACTCTTGAGAATGGAGTTTTCACATGGAGTTTTGCCATGCCCTCCTGGGAAGAAGTTCCTCCTAYTGGATTCTCCTAAATCTGTATCTTCTAAGCCTACCCTTGTTGTATTGTCTGACACATTAAAAAAAGTTTGACTTCATCATCTTCATAATTACCCTTGAAGTAGTCAGTCTCTGCTATTAGCCTCCTCTTTGTCAGATAAATTAAACATCCTCAACCTCTCAGGCAGTTATGTATATTATCTCTGACTATCTTGCAAAGCTCCTATGAACCTCTTTTTACCAATACACTCAATATCCCAGTTCTTTTCCATGTTCAGTATCAACCCATAAATTTGTTGAGAGTTCACTTTGTTCCACCACTGTCACTGTGTATGCAGATACWGGACAGCATACGCCCACTTCGTGGACCTGATAGTGCTCCACTTGTTTCTGATCACAGAGAATGAAAACATTGAGTTCTACTCTTGGAGCACAACTGGCAGTCCTACTTTCAGTCCATCTACTGGTTCATTCTGTGCATAGAGCCTTAGCTCCCAAATGAGAGCACTCTGAGAGATGATGTCAAAAGCCTTGTTTCTAAGTCAGGTACTATTACATCTACTGCTTTTAATTGTTTGCTACTTTACTGCTTATCCATGTGAATAGTGATTTCGTCATAGAAGACAAACAGGTAGGCCAAGGATGACTTCTCTTTCATAAATGATTTCCTTAGCAAAGGCTAAGTGCTCTAGATTTCCTGGTTTTCATTTCCTGTAGAAAATGTTCTTTACATGGACTGGAATTAGTTTTCTAGATTCTCTTCCTTTAATTTCTTATGGATTAATGTAATGTTAGTCTTTTRTTGTGCTAAGCAGGAAGTTCTCCAATCACCATATTTCAAAGATACCAGTCTTGCTTAGCATCAGTTTGATTTTTCAAGACCCTTTGGTGAAACCCATCTGCATGGATTTGAATACATCTACCTACTCTTACCTGTTGTCTCTCCTCGTTGTGTCTGAAAGATAATGCAGAAAAGGCCTTTTCCATGTTGGATTCAAGACTCATTAGGCTGCTTCATCCATTTATTCATAGGCCCACATTGTACATGAACTTTCTTCTGCATCTAAGATACTCTAGAATCTCTCCTTGCTATCCTTAATGAGACTTACAGAGTCTTAGCTCTAACTGGTCATTAGCCCAGCAAGTTTAACTAATTATTCCTGGCTTAGAAACAGCAACAACAACAAAAATGGAAAGTAGAGAGGGCTATTAAATAGCTTCAGCTCTGGAACTTCCTTAGACATAAATGCCTGCAATATCGGAGAGCTAAGAAGATGAATGTGCATATGATTGTCCTATTCTAGTCTATGCTTTTCCCTGAGCATGCACTTTTGATCACTCTCACTCTTGACTTTCTGGATTAGTGTGCTACAACTTCGCTATTGTCCTAGAGAGATTTTTTTTTTTTTTTTTTTTTTTTTTGGATGGTACATATCTACATTTTATGTAACAATAAAAAAAATCCATAGCTATGTCAGGCTTCGGTCTTCTTGAGGACAAGCAAAACAGATATAGTATACACACTATTTTAAATGGTTTATTGATTAACCCATTTGGATCAAATGTAAGTCAAGGAATAAAACTGCCTTTAACTGTTTCTATAATTAATTGGTTTGTTTGCTCCTAGAGCCTGTTTGCTCACAGAATCTGTTTTGGACTAGTCACTCAGCTTTCTATGAAATAATAGGCCTCCAAAAATTAGTCTGCATTATCTGATTTTAATTTTTTTTCCATACTTTGTAGTTCTCTAAAATTCCAGTACTATTCTCTGTACCACTACTACAGTAAAATTCTCTACTATTCCAGTAGGCTCTGATCAAATATCTGATACATTCTCAAGCAATACTTCTTGCTTGAAACAAGCATAAACATAGGTGCCATAGACATAAATAGACATCAAATAGGTGCCATTAGACACTACTCAAATTATTTTAGATTTACTTGAGAACAAAACAAACAAACAAACAAACAAACAAACAAAAAAAAAAAAACCAGAAATTGTTGCTGTGTCTTTAGAGTCACAGGGCTACCAAACCAAATCCAGGTGATAGCCATGACTATGTGAGTCAGTTAGTATAAAGAATATAAATGTAAGCCTGTCTGTATGATTCTGTCTTAAAAGTAATAATTACTTCCTGAGTAATATGTCTTCCTGAAATTACTTTCTTATGTAATCCCCATGTCCTCTTTGAAACTTTATCACTTTACACACTAAGAATGATGACACCTGAGTTTGAATGTACAAGAGCTTCTAACCTTTCATGCTTGGGTATCAATCTTTCTTTAAAAAAAAGTTTGTATTTAAACTGAGTTATTTCACATTCTYGATAAATGATATTGGAAAAAAAATTATCAGCAACAGAAACAAATAACAACAAAAACCTCTCCCAGACAGATTTGAAAGAATGTATAGGTGGTTAATTCCAGAAAAGCATTCATACATGTGGATCTTGCCTAGGCTTCTAAGTTTCTGGGGAATGTATTTCCTTGACGATCTCTGGCTAGTCATTGCTCTGTCTGATGTCTGTCATTCTCACACTGCCAATCCYCAAGGATTATACAAGGAGCCTAGATTTCTTGCAGGATTATTTCATCATAATATTTATTTCTTTGACCTTTCAGACAGAATTTGTTTGTTTTTGATATCTTTATCTTTTAAAGCTGATCTGCCATAGGAAACAGTTTTGACTTTTACATTTTTTTAGCTCCAGCTGGTGTCTTATCATTGGCTCATCTAACTGCCTTTATTAGATCTCACTGCATTTGGCGCATATATGCAAGTTTCACAAATTTTGCAATCTAGCACATTTACAAGTCCTATATATATTTTACAGTCAGATTTGGTAGGAACTTTTTTGGAATAGTTTTTAAAACTGCTATCATCATCCTATCTCAGAAAATCCTCCTTTTATCTTTAGGATTGTATATCATCATTCATGTCTTATTACTGCGTTTCTATATTAGGCTCCCCAAACTTCATCTCCTATGTATTTTGAGATGCTATTCCTTTTTCAAACATAGAAATACAATTCCAAACAGTAGTAAGAAAGCTATTCTAGCTCACTTAAATTTAATTCTTCTTCTTTATAGTATCAATATTCTTTAATAGATTTAATCTTCTTATTTCCATAATGSATATATTTGAACAGATTAGCTAGCAAAAGTTGAACTTTGGAATGTACTTTCAGTCTTTCTAACTGTTTTGTTTGTCATTTGAACTGGAACAGAAAGTACTATTATAGCCCTGTGTAAAAGAATAAGAAAATGGGCTCATTCTTTACAAACCAAACCGTACAGATACAAATGTGTTTTAGTATGTTTTGCCAGTGAGACTTTAATACTCTGTGCTATCAAACTCAGATTTGAAAATAACAGCCAAATCAACAGACCAATATCCTCAAAGCTCTCTCAACTTCTTTCACATCTCTGTAGCTATCACTTCTTCAAAGAAATAATAAAACTTTTTAAAAATAAATAATTCATTTATTTACATGAAGTTCTATACCAATATGGAATCTTTGCTTACAGAGATTGACAAAACATCCTTCTTCACTTCTTCAGAAATAGATGGCAGAGGCTGTAAAATGTGGTAGCTGTCTCTGGCATCACAGAATCATGGAATCATTAAGGTTGGAAGGGACCTCTAGAGATCATCTAGCCCAACCCCTCTGCTCAAGCAACGACACCTAGAGCACAGCGTACAGGGTGGCATCCAAGTGAGTTTTGAAAACCTCCAGAGGAGACTCCACAACCTCCCTGGACAGCCTATCCCAGGGTTCTGTCATCCTCACAGCAAAGAATTTCCTCCTCACATGGAGATGGAAYTGCCTGTGTTTCAACTTATACCCATTACCCCTTTGTTCTATCACTGGCCACACTGAGAAGAGTTTAGCCCCTTTCTCCCTACATTCACCCTTCAGGTATTTATACATATTAATCCGATCTCCTCTCAACCTTCTCTTCTCCAGGCTAAACAGGCCCAACTCACTTAGTCTTTCCTCATAAGATAAATGCCCCAGTCCCTTAATCATCATGGCATGGACTTGAGGATAGTCAGATATTTCTATGTTTTATAGGGTCACACAGGAAAACTACTGTAACATGGGCTAGAGCAGATAATATGTGTGGGAGCAACTCCATCCAGAATCCCCAGAGAACTACATGTACAGGGTGCCAGCGTCTTCCCGCTACATGGAAAGTGGCACTGGAGAAAGTAGAAATTACACACGCACACACACACACACACACAAAAATTACTTTTCAGTTTATTTGACTCTTCTTAGGGTTTCCAGAATATCTTCTCCTTGACTGCTTTTCTCCTTGGAGAAAAGACCATTATTTTTTCAAATACCATTCATTTTTGATGTAAGCATGAGATAATATACTAAAATMTACAGCTGTATAATTCTACTTTATCAGTTGCCCATGATAAAYTGGATAAAAATTGGTACTATTCTTTAGTTCAAATACATGGTAARTGTAACACTTCATAAAGCAAAAAAGTGTCCTCTCAATGATATGATAGTCATAGTTTTTAAAAACTTTCTTTGCAACTTTGATGTACAAGCTAATGAGAAGCGAAGCGAAGCAAAGAGAACAGAAGAGAAAGACTATAATCAGCTATAATCAAGACATAGAACAATAATGATTCTTAACTATGAGGAAAAAGATATTTTAGTAATTATAACAACAAAAACAAGAACAACAACAAAAAACCTCTCTCCTCCAAAATATCAATGAACCAACAAAAGCAAGCATTTCTGGGCTTTTTTTCCTGTTTGCTCCACATGGAACAGTAGAAAACCTTTTGAAGCCAGCCTTGTCACTTCATAAATATTCACACTCAAATACCTAGAGAGGTGTTTTCAGAATTCTTTTATTTTCCTCTATCACTTAAGAAACACATTTCTGTTAAAGAAGCAGATGTTCATATTCACTTTGAAACTTTCATTGGCTAATAATTATTACCCTCAAAATCCTGCTATTGATAAGAGGAAATCCATCAAAAAATGGAGCCCAGAATTTACTAATTAAAATATTAATGTTTAATTTACTAATTAGAATCAGCTAATGATAGTCCTGTTACAGTAATACTAACATTCCTAGTCCAAATTAGTACAGAAAAAGTTTCATTAATAATCCTCCAAAAATATTTTACAAGAAACATTGTGAATATCTATCCCTTTTTTTCTGATGTTGTCCTCCCCATTCTAATACCCCTCTGGGTCATATGATCAAGACAGTCAATCTTCCTCAAGAAGAAATAAGAGTCCTCAAGAAGAAATAAGGTGAAAAACTTCTACAGCAGGTTGTTTGTATCCTGAGCACTTCACTGGGAGCAATATAATGCTCATATCAGGGATTTCTTCTTCAATCTTGTAGTTCATTTGTGACTCTCATATTTTTTTCATATCACACATCTCTTTCTCATTGGTTTGGTGTGTCAGAACTTTATCATACATGATAGTCTGTGGTAAGACTAAGACTGGTCAGAAAATAGTCAGTTTACTACTAAACCATGGTTGAAAGAAGCTAAAGCAGCTCTGGGCAAAGCAAGCCCAAATAGATGCTGAGACCCTGCACAGCAAGCTCAATACATAGCCTGTGACCTTTTACTACTAGAAATAAAAATAAATAAATAAATAAATAAAAAGCATTTACTGAGATGCAAATTCATATTTCTCCAAACTGTGATACCTAAAGGGATGAGAAAAGTAATGGATTTTTTTTTCCGTTTCATTGTTTGATTTTAGCTTGGGAGCAACAGTACAGTTTTCTTGTGATGAAGATTACGTGCTACAAGGTTCTAAAAGTATCACCTGCCAGAGGATAGCTGAAGTCTTTGCTGCATGGAGTGATCATAGACCTGTATGTAAAGGTAAAGAAGAATTCTTTACTTTAAATGATACATTTGTTTCATATTTATCTATTGTTTGATAGCTAATGTTATTAGTTTTTTTTTTAAATACATGATGTTTTAACCTTTATATCCTCACATTCATAAGGAATGACACTACTATAAACTGCTTTCTTTAATATGATCTTTTTCTATATTTTAGTATGCTATAATTGGGACTTTAAATGAAAACTTTTTGAAAATCTATCTCGTGGTCAATATTAAGACTCCCCATTTGATTACCATTTGATAAAGGACAAATTTTGAAAGAGTAGTGGTTCAGTTCAAAATCAGTAGCATCTCCATTACATATTCGTTAAGAAAATAAGAAAGATTTATATGTAGGATTGATGAGGATATTGAAGAGTACACTTTTTTCACAGAGAATACTTGGTTGTGGGATATAAGTTGGATGTTTACTGGATAAATTGAGGTTATAGATGCTTACAGATACTTAGTCTTCCAAAGAGAACTTTCTCAGCAGTGAAAAAGTATGATATCCAGCTGATGTAAGGTATTAACTCATAAAAACTGGAAAATTACAGGGCTAATGAAAAATGAGGACAGTCTAATTGGAAAAATATTGTAGATMCTGTAGATATTGTAGGTACTACTGAGATGGCCATACAATAAGATGCAGAAATCCCAACTAAGYCTTAAACTGTGTTGATAAAGATAAGTGATCACAGAATAACRGAATGTTCAAGGTTGGAAGGGACCTCTAGTCCAACCTTCCTGCTCAAGCAGGGACACCCAGAGCATGTGACACAGGGTGGCATCCAGGCAGGTTTTGAAGACCTCCAGAGAAGGAGACYCCAAAACCTCCCTGGGCAGCTTGTTCCACTGCTCTGTCACCCTCATAGTAAAGAAGTTCCTCCTCACATGGAGATGGAATTTCCTGTGTTTCAACTTATGCCTATTGCCCCTTGTCCTGTCACTGAGAAGAGCTTGRCCTCTTCCTCCCTACATTCTCCCTTCACATACTTATACGTTAATCATATCCCCTCTCAGCCTTCTCTTCTCCAAGCTAAACAGGCCCATCTCACTTCCCTTAATCATCTTTGTCTCTCTCCACTGGACCCTCTCTAGGAGCTCCATTTCCCTCTTATACTGGGGAGCCCAGAACTGCACACAGTATTCCAGGTACAGGCAGGATCACCTCCCTTGACCAGCTGGCAACACTCCTCCTGATGCAAGCCAGGATCCCATTGGCCTTCTTGGCCACGAGGGCACACTGCTGACTCAYGGTTAGCTTGGTGTCAACCACGACTCCCAGGTCCCTCTCYGTGGAGCTGCTCTCCAGCAGGTCGACCCCTAATCTGTACTGRTGCCTGGGGTTATTCCTCCCCAGGTGCAGGACCCTGCACTTGTCCTTATTGAACCTCATGAGGTTCCTCTCTGCCCAACTCTCCAGCCTGTCCAGATCCCTCTGGATGACAGCACAGCCCTCCAGAGTGTCGGCCACTCCACCCAGCTTGGTGTCATCTGCAAACTTACTCAGAGTGCACTCCGTGCCCTCATCCAGGTCATTGATGAACAAATTGAACAGCACCGGGCCCAGTACAGACCCCTGGGGGACACCACTGGCCACAGGCCTCCAACTGGACTCGGCCCCATTTATCACCACCCTCTGAGCTCTGCCATCCAGCCAGCCCTCGATCCACCTCACTGTGCTCATCCAGACCACTCTCCCGGAGCTTCCGTATGAGGACAGTATGGGAGACGGTGTTGAAAGCCTTGCTGAAATCAAGGTAGACAACATCCACGGCTCTCCCCTCGTCCAGCTGGCCAGTCATCCCATCATAGAAGGCTATGAGGTTTGTCAGACATGACTTCCCGTTGGTGAATCCATGCTGACTGCTCCTCAACACCTTCTCTCCTTCATATGCCTGGAGATTCTGTCTAGGATGAGCCGCTCCATCACCTTTCCAGGGACAGAGATGAGACTGACCAGCCTGTAATTGCCSGGCTCCTCCGACTTGCCCTTTTTGAAGACTGGAGTGACGTTGGCTCTCTTCCAGTCCTCRGGCACCTCCCCTGCTCTCCARGACCTCTCGAAGATGCTGGAGAGCGGCTGAGCAATAACCTCGGCCAATTCCCTCAGCACTCTTGGGTGCATCCCTTCTGGGCCCATAGATTTTTGGGTGGCCAGTTTGCCTAAGTGATCCTTAACCCAATCCTTCTCAAGAGGAAGGTCTTCCTCTTGCCCATTTATCTCTCTTTCACCTGAGCCCTGCAGTTCATGGGAAGTAACCTTAGCAGTAAAGATAGAGGCAAAGAAGGCATTTAGTAACTCTGCCTTCTTGGCATCCTCCGTCACCAAGTGATGGATTACCAAGTCACTTACTAAGTAGTGAGCCAAGAAGACTCCCACATTTAGAGATCACAAAGAAATAGGACTTATGGTCCTTTGAATCACAATTCACACAAATCACAATTCACAAAATTAAATTTGCAATTTAATGGTGAAACAATAGATTTTGCCATTCTTTAAATAAATACAGAATGAATTATCCTTATGAGGACAGAGGGCAACTTTAGTAAATTGTGAATTCTTCAGTGACTGCAAATTCAAAATCAGCGTTTTACAGAGTGCGGCTAGGTCAGATCATTTAAATGTTTATAATAACAGCATGAAGATGTATAAACACAAAATGTCAGTATGTGATCATAGAATCATAGAATGCCGAAGGTTGGAAGGGACCTCAGAGGTCATCGAGTCCAACCCGCCTGCTCACATAGGGTCAC